ATTAGAAATTAAGTGTTAACGAGCAGTTGGACAGGTGTACCTAATAAAGTGGCCGGTGAGTATATATATATTAAGGATGCGTTTGAAGCTTTGCGAGGTAAAACAAAGGTGAGATACTGTATGCAGATAATACAAATGATATTGGTAGAAGAGAAGACAGCATTTTGTGCACTGTGTGTGTGTGCGCACGAGTGAGTGAGTGAAACTGCTCTGGTATAACTTAGAAAGCTGCAAGACATATTTCTCTAACATCACTGAAGGTAAATGAGTAACACACACATGCATGCACACACCTACCTTGTGAAGAATCGTATGTCCTTGTCGGAAGCAGCAAAACGATAAATGCCGAACCGCTGCCTCACCGTCAGGCTCTCTACCTGTTCCTGAAGCTGGCGGAGTTCCTCCCGGAGAGTTTCATTTGCCTCCAGCACCAAATCCACCACTGCAGGTTCTGGAGCATCGACATAATCATGATCCTTAAGGGCCGGAGTTATTCTGGCTGTACAGGCTGCTGTGTTCTCTTCCTTCTCGCTGTCCTCTAGGGGTGGTGGTCTTTGCATTCTCTCCCAAACCCCGGGTCTTGGAAGTGGAAGGGAAAAATTGTTCCACTCGAACAAAGCAGGTACAGCTCCCTTTTTTAACCTCCGTCTTCCCATTCCATGTCCAATGTCCTCAGGTTTGAAATGCCGACTACAAACACGAGTGTGTCCTTTAATAGTTAAGTTTTCCCTGCGGACAGCCAATATCCATTGTCGCCTTAACTCCTCRTTAGCAGGAAAACTGAAAAAACTAAGTACTTTATTGTACCTACTGGTCACTGAACACAACGGCACACAACAGAACTCACTTGTTGTACCAGTAGCACGCAGGTGCGTCAACTTTTGTGACTTTTTCATGGTGTAGTTCTAGGAGCTAAAGCTAAAATCAACAGGCAGCGGGTATGAACGGGAAGCAATGCGCGTGGCAAGTATTTTGACGGAAGTACGTCATCAATCGCTGTGTCTCGCACAAGATTCACCGGAAGTTTGCAGTTGCGTGGAAACCAGGGTATACTAGGGTTAGCAGTTAGCTGTCAGTGTTAGCTTGAGCTGAAGTTGAATTGGGGCAGGTTTGGACTTCAGAACTTGGTGTTGGCTTTAAACATATCAAACCAGGATCCATTTCCTTTCCCTAAATTGGAAAACGACTTCATTTTGAGTGGTTTCAGGCCGCAGCAGGTTCGTGTCCTGTTGTATTGAATGTTCTTCTTTGAAATTTTAGCACGACCTAATTTTTGACTTATCACTCCCAAACTAATTTTGTTTATTTATTTATTCTTAATTTGTGCAAATACAAACCCGTTTGAATCGGAAATTGGAAGCTTTAGGAGGATTTGCCTGTTTGACAGATTAGTCTTGTAAATTAATAACTAATATTTATTTTGGAAACATACTTTTTAACACGCATTTGTTATTTTTAGAGACAAACATGTAAAAAACGGTTCAAATCACCCAAAAAGAAGAACCCTGGAGCCGCCTCCATGATGCAGCCACTCAAGCCAGCAGCCGTCGAAAAGTAACTTATTTGGAGGGAGCATCGTCAGAGTCCGCTTTGAAAATAACCAACAGACCCATTTAAAATGTTATTTTTCTGATCTCAACCTTAGTTTCCAAAAGACCGTCTTGACTTCCAGATGACGACCATCATAAYGATTCCTTCTGCACGAAGAACCAAATGTACCAGAGGGAAAACCTCTGCGAGCACCAAAGGTGGGTGTTCTGGATGTGATGTGCTTCAGGTTGTTTTAAATAGTTGCCACTCCACAGAAAAAGGGAAATGTTAAAGACGATGTTGGAAAAGGAGCGAGAAGCTGAGATCAAAGTATGCGTCAACCTGAAGAGGACCTCCATTCACAGCATTAAATGACATCCAGGTGAAGCTTGGGTAAAGTATCCAAAATATTAACAAAAGAAGAAAATATATAAATAAGGAAGAAAATGATCAACCAGTTACAAATGGATCTTAAATCCACTCGCTCTGGGAGATGTCAACATTTAGTGTCTTGTTTTGTTTAAACATGTTTTCCTCTACAGGTAAATCTGCTTCAGTGTTTTCACCTTATCATGGAGTTGCTTGCTGGAACTGCTGCTAACCTCAAAGTCCTGGAAATAAATCAGTTTTCAGTGTTTTTTGGTTCTACTGCTGTCTTTTAAAAACAACAACCCCCACTTCAGTTATGTATACATGCTTAATGATATTTACCAGCACTTTTTAAATAAAAAGCATATATTATTGTGCAGTTTCAAATCCATACATCCAACAAAAACATCAGCTTTTCCCTGGAACAGCTTACAAAAATTTTATTTAAAAATATCAACACATTAGCTTCCACTTTTTCCATACTCTTTTATCCAAATACTTTACACACTGTGACATAAAAAGAGAAATCTTATTATGAAACATAAAAATAAAATGTAATGAACAGTTTAAATGGTATTGACCTTAAAACGACATCTACTCATGTTCGTGTCAGTTTTTAAACTTGAAAATGTAATGAACAGTTTNTTAAAACGACATCTACTCATGTTCGTGTCAGTTTTTAAACTTGAAAATGTAATGAACAGTTTAAATGGTATTGACCTTAAAACGACATCTACTTGTGTTAGTGTCAGTTTTTAAACTCGAACTCATGATTTTAGGCTCGGGATTTTCTTTGGAGACAACTCTGGAAGAAAGCCTTGCTGTTCCACTCGTTGGGAGGGAGCATGTAGGAGCCATTGTGGACAAAAAGAATGGTCATCTTCTCGGCATACTGAAGGTTCTGCAGAAGCTGCAGAGACAAAAATAAAATAAAATAAAAAACAGCACGAGGGAAAGTTCAGGAAAAAAACATAAAACATAAACCAGGTAGTTTTACCCAAGAAACACCCTAAAACTTGGTTATATCCACTTCTGGTGACACAAATAAAATCAAACTCATTACTCAGAAACAGGACACTTACTTTAGGTGTGATGAAAAAGTACTGAGAAGTGGTTTCTTTGCAGGCTGTTCGGACCACGATGTCAAAAACTCTCCTCTCGTTTACAGGATCCATTCCCTGAACAAACACAGTTATCCAAATATGCAGGTAGGACGATAAAAACATTTAAAAGTTTTATTAAAGACTGCATGTCACTCGCTGCCTTTCATGACAGAACTTTAAAGTGCCTGTGACATGCATTATTCTTCAAATACAAAAAGTCAAAAGAAAACATCTTTTTATTTAAGGAAGTTGGAATAATACACACGATTTAACCCATTTTGTCCCATAACTGGCATATTTTCTTTTGAACTTGGCTCAGCCAAAGTGAAACAGGAAGTGACATCAAAGGGGAACTCTTTCAAAGAAAAATCTCTGTCTTTGTTTACTGAAACAATATTATTTGAACTCTGACTCTTCATCTCTCTGATAGTGACTCAAAATAATCTTAAGAAGCATCAGATTCTTCTCTACAGTCTGGGTTGTTGGCTGTTGTAGCGATGCTCTGTTCACATGCAGACATTCCCCTTTGACATCACTTCCTGTTATTTCACAGGCAAATATCTCAACAACTGTTCATCTCAGCAACATGAAATTTCTTCCTCTTTTTAAAAATGCATTTGTATGTGTTACAAAAATTTGACATCACAGGCACTTTAAACAAAGATCATCGAACAGAATCAACCTTAAATAAGGCTTTCATACCTGGTTGATCTCATCCACCACTCTGAAGGGGCAGCGGTTGAGCTCCTGTAAGGCCATCAGGTAAAGCATGGTGGAAACGCTGCGCTCTCCTCCGCTCTGATGGTGTGGCGTCAGCTCGTGGAGCTGAGTGCTGCTGTGGAACTTCACTCGGATGCGGATCCCGTACTTGTCGTACTCCTCCTAAAAAAAACAGCATGGGCGGTAGTTACAAACCTTTTGAAACGCATCGAAAATCATTTAAAACTTCTAAAAGTGCCTGCGACATCAAATTTTTGTCATAAATTTGAATTCATTTTTGGAAAGACAGCACTGATAACATAATGTATACGGAATAAGGTATAAGGTATACGGTATAAGGAATACTAAAATTCCAAAATGCAAACCACGCATTATTAGAAAAAGGAATTTGAAAATATTCCAGGAGCAAGCTTTTCACCATGATTTGTCTAAAGTCAAATGGGAGCAAATGGGTTTGTTTCCAGATGTTGAGATAGCTTGGACGTTTTTTGAGGAAAGTTTTGTTAAAATTGTAAATAAACATGCTCCCATTAGGAAATTTAGCGTGAAGGGGCGGGAGAACCCCTGGTTTTCTCCAGAACTCTCAGATATCATTCATCAGCGAAACGTGGCATGGGCT